AATTCTACTTTTAAAATGGTCATAATATAAAACTGTCAATAAATAGAACAAGTTTCCTTAGTGATATCAGGTATTCATTCAACACTTACTATTTAACACACTTATTTTTCCACAAATTTTCTCCTTATTCATAAGCTGTAGCTCCTTGTTTTATTATAAATGTACTGGAACTAACATGATAAATATTTATCCAAGCCTACTTCCTCATATGTGATGGTATGAGCGCACTAATAGCTAATGCTTAGAGTAAAATCTAAATACTTGAAAACCACTATGGAAAGAATCAAGCTACAAAGAATCAGTCCATATACCTGATGGTTTGTCTATGTAAGCATCAACACTTGTTTTTGCACAGAACACTTTCAGAAATGAATTAGATAATTCCCACATTCTTAAACAAAATATCCTAGATATAACTGTTTTCTTGCTAACTCATGGGTGTGATTAAATATGTGAGTTAGTGAGCTATGATGAAACACAGAGATGCCTTCAGGAGCTACTGAGGTATATATGGCTACTTGCTTAGTTAATAAGAGGAGGTATCATGTAGTGATTAAGAGCGTGTACTCTGGAGCCAGACTCCCTAGTGTTTAATATCTGGGCTTTTGCCTCCAAATTATATTGTGATCCTTAGGAAGTTATTTAACCTCTATGAGCCTATTTACTCATCTACAAAATGGGGATACTACAACCTTTCTCATAGAATTGCTATGGAATTCAGAATGAGGTAACATATGTAAAGTATTGGAACATCGGTACATGACTTATAAATGCTATCTTTAATTTCTTATTTTTCTGATGCCTCTAAGACATCTAGTTAAGCATTTGGACATAGAAGTTTGAATAGAGATGAACAGGTTTGAATTACATGGACTTATAATTATGGGGAATTGCTAGAATATAGCTGGATGCTAAAACTAGAGAACCAATTGAGGATATTTATGAGGAAGATAAAATATATGTGAGTGTGTATGTATGTAAATGTACATATGTATGTCTAAACAAAAATAATACTAGAAGCAGGCCAAGGATAGACCAGATAAAACAGAACACCCAAGAAGAGAAGAAACACATGAAAAAGAGAAAAGACAAAAGTAGTCAGAGAGCAAGGAGAGAATGGGGCCCATAAAGCCAAAGATAGTAAAATTTTCAAGGAGGGAGGTGATTAATAGTGCCAAATGATGAGGATTAGAAAAAGGCCATTGGATTTTGAAATTAGAGGATCACTATCAACCTTTTTAAGAACTGTGAAAATGTTGAGTTGTAAAAGGTAATTTAGGAAATACAGAAAACAAGTACAGATGATTCTTTTAGAGAGTGGGACTATAAAATAAAAAAGGAAGATGAGAGGCTAGTTTGAAGATTAATAAAGATCAAAAGGTGTTGTAGTATGGGTGAGAACTGAGAATGCTATTAAGCTGAAGGGAAGTCAATTAAGAGAGAGCATATGAAGATATATGATTTACTGTCTATCTGTTTCTTGAACTATTGAAGATAATGAAAATCCTATCACATGGACAAAATTTCACTTGAAAGATGAGCTAGAAAACCTCTGTGAGAAGTTAATAACCTGTTTTAAAATAAAAAAAGATAAAAATGCATATAGTTGTTATTTAAAAATATAATTAGTGCTGTATTTTAACAGAATTACTTTTTCTATTTCTGTAATATCCTGAGACTTCTCAAAATGTTATTATAGTCTCAGAAGTAATTCTGTTAAAATACAGCACTAATTTTATTTTTTAAACAACAAATTCCAACTTTTGGTTTTCATTCTGTATTCTGAATATATTTTTGAACTTTTAGATGATATTTTTTAAATCACATGAAATAGTCCAAATAAATAAACCCACGTCACAATTCTTATAAGTCATAGGCTCTGTATATAACAAATTACTAATTTTTAGCTCATCAAAATAGGACATTTCAAATTATGATTTGCATATGTTTGCATCTATAATCAGTATTCAACAATTTCTTGAATATCTAGCAAGATGCTTATAATTCTTCTATATGCTACCTGTCAACAATTTGCCACTTTATCATTCTATTCAGTCCAACTTCTTGAAGGCTAGCAATTGTCATTCCTATCCCATTTGTTGGGGTGAACTACTCTGTGGAGGGGTGTCATTTTAAAGGTCAGAAAATGCAGTATACAAATGTTGCATCAAAAAGATCTGGCTTCAAATTATAGTTCTACCCCTCAATAGCTGTGTGATTTTAAGTGAGTCATTTGAGCAAGTAAAGAATACTTTGAATATATCTAAAATACTTACTTTCTCTTAAACTTTGCAAGACAAGTACAAACTCCTACAAATGACTGAATGCCAGTGAAATTTAGTTAGGTAAACCCAACTATAGGAACAAGAACAAAGATTTCAAGAACTCATCTAAAAAGTAGTTTTCAAATCTTTCAGTAGAGATATTAAAAATTTTTGAGATAAATTTTATAATAAGTACATACAAAGGAAAAGAGTGATGAAGGAAACAAAGGCAAAAGAAAAATTAAATTTCCTTACTACTTGCAGCCCATTCACAAGTCCTTAAAACAGGCAGAGTGACATTCCTCTAAGAACTCAGCTGCCAGGAGGTTAACTTTGCTAAACTCAGAAGGCAATCTTAACTGACCCCCAGGATGCTGTAAGTCTACTTTAAAATATAAAAATTCCTTTGGAAACTTCCTTTATCTCTACCCCCTCCAAGATACATGTTGACAATCATCACCCAAGCATATGACCCACTGAGACACATCTGAAGGGTCTCATGACTAAGGTTTTATCAGACAGTAATAAATGACCTTTTCCTAACAACAGCTAGCCCCTTCAAGGTCCTGGAAACCTTGCTTTCAAAATTCCTTAGAGATTTATGCTACCCTCCAATTTGAAAGTATATAATGGGCCACCCCCCCCCCCCCCCCGAGACCCCAGTGGAGGTCTTCCTGCCCAGGGGTTCTGTCCCCTTGCTTTAATAAAATCACCTTTTTGCACCAAAGACATATCAAGAATTCTTTTTTGGCCATCAGGCTTTGAACCCTAATATCTTTCCTACATCAACAGTAGAAGGAAATATCCCAACTATTAAAAATGTAATACATTAGACATAAAAGACAAACTGTAAAAGTTTATCCAAAATGATCATCACAGTTGGAGAAGTAACAATTAACAAAGATCCTTAAATATTTAAAGACAGATTATAGTTTTCGTAACACTACAGCATTCTCTTTGGACAAGCCAATTCATCTATCTGCTGTAGTTTCAAACTTTTGCAAAAAAAAAAAAAAAAATACTAATACTTTGTAACACAATAAAAAAGAAAATAAATTGTTTTACATCAGATAAGAAATTTTAACATTTAAACACTCACTACTAAATAATTTGATAAAATTAAATTTGGAACCATCTTCTCTTTAAGGAGAGAGGAGAAGGAAAGCTGAGGACAAAGCACAAGCTGACACCCCACAAATCCCCCCTCCCCCAGGTGGGTTATGTGTGACATTCCTCAGGCACTCCTGGCTGCCCTAAAGCTAAGGGAAGGAAAAACAAATGGTTAACTTATAGAGATTGCAGTCCTGCAAGACAAGTCTCCCTCAGTTTACAAAAGTCTTACTGATTTACAAGAAAAAAGCATTCTTATCAATAACCTAACTTCCAGAAGGAAATGCAGATAAAATTATTCTTATCAATAACCTAATTTCCAGAAGGAAATGCAGATAAAATTAAATGTCCTTATCATCTGCAGCCCATTGACAAATACTTGAGGCAGGCAGAGTATAATGTTCCTCCAGGAAGCTCCCAACTGTCCTAAAGTTCAAGCCTTGCTAGAGGGAAAAACACCTTTAACTTGACAATGGCAAGGCCTCCAGTATCTTGTAGGTCCTCTTTAGCATATGAAATTTCTTTTGAAAACCTGCCTTTTCCTTATCTCCCCCACTCCCAAGTATATAATCAGCCACCCCTCACAACCCCAATGCAGCAGGTCTTTCTGCCCATGGGTCCTGTCCCCATGCTTTAATAAAACCACCATTTTGCACCAAAGGCCTCACAAGAATTCAAACCCACCAAACCTCACCTATATTCCAAAACTACATCATCTTTGTTGAATGATACTACAGGAGTTAAAAAATAATTCAAAAAGAGTTCCCCATGGTAAACAAAAGACAAAGATGAGCACTGAAGACCAAAAACCTGGTATCAAATTCTTACTCTACCACTTACAAGCTGTGTCAGCTTAGACAAGTTATCTAGTCTCAATAAGCCTATCCATCTTATAAACAAAATGGAGATGATAATAGTGCCTGCACAGCTGGGTTGTTGTGAGAACTTAATCAGATAATATATGTAAATTAAAATGCTTAGCCCATGATCTCATACCATAAATATGGCCAATAAATATGAGTTCTCATCACTCAAGAACAAAGTTATCTTTCATAAAATGGGTCATTTCATGAAACCATCTAAGAAAAGATAGTGAGTTCTGTCATTTTCTAAATAAGACATTTAGGCTGGGTATACACAGAGCCATGAGAGAGACTCTGACCAAAGAATTGCAATTCTTTGTCCCCACCCTATTCTGGTGAGTCAGACTTCTGAATATTGTGTGAATGGTATAAAGATATGCTTAGATTTCCTAAATTTCTACCATAAGCCCAAAGATTTCATCAACATCTGTTAGGATAATACAATTGGCTAAACTGCTTACCCTGTTGTTCTGATTATTAGTAAAGCTTTAATTCCCATGGTTTATTTTATTATTTACTAAATTTCTTCCAAATATTAATGATAATCATACCATATTAATAGTAATCAGAAGTACTTTACCTAATTTTAAACAAATTGTTATTCTAACAGATAAAACTTCTAGCTTTTATAAATGACCAAGCAATAGGAAGAATTTCATTTTTATGTTTCATTCTCTTTAAATAATAGCTAAGGAGTTGGCATCAGACAAAATGAGTACTTTAAATATAACCCCAGAAGCAACTTAAGACAAAACCAACTCACCTGTAATTGCAAAGCTTCATGATTTTCTAATCCTTCCACAATTGGTGAAAATCGTTCCCTATTATTTCTTTCTGCTGCAGTAGTTATAGCCCCTAAAAGTTTATCTAGACTATAGAGGGGGAAAAAAATTAGAAATGAGAAATCCATTTTACACACACATTATGAATATGGGTTATCTGCTTCTTTCAGTCTTATTTCCTTTCTGGCATTTAATGTTTATAGCGACCACTACACTTTAAGAGTTGTATTCCTATACACGTATTTCTACAAGTCAAATATTGATAGCTTTAAATAATTTTAGGGCATCAAAATGAAAATTCAATTAAAAAGCCTTGAGGAAAACAAATTTCCTGGGTAACATTCTTTAAGATATTTAACTGATAAACACTGAAATTTAAAATTCCAGGTTTGGTATTTCATGTGTTAGCATAAATATTAATAATCATTTAAGCATAATATGACATCTACTATTATTAAAATTTTATTCACATGTAAACTAATTTTATAATAAAGTACTAGAAAGAGCAAGTACATTTGAAAGAACTTAAAAAAATCAACATTCTTTCAAAATGGAACAAGAAAGAAAAACTAAAAAAGAAAGTCTAGGTAATTAGAGAAGCATCTATAATTATCTAGCACAAAAAAAAACTATTTACATAAACAAAAATATTGGTAACTATCACTATACAGTGTCTGAATCAAATTAACCTCTATGTAGTATACTGTGCTTATCAAACTGTAGCCACAACTATAACAAATATACCAGAATAGGTTGTATTATATGAATTAAGTACTGAAAATCCGATTGACAAGAAAAATATTTTTTACTCATGTATAAACTAATTTTTCTATAAAACCTAAGGAAATCTTTTGCATATGTTATTTCATTCTTAGTTTGTTCTAAGACTTAATGCTCTCTGATAATATTTTTGTTTAGTGTTTGGCTTTTGATCTCTAAGGACACTAAGCAGCATTAAGCAATATCTCATTTTATTCTGATAGGTATGAAAAAGTCACTGTATTAGGATATTCTTAAATCTTTGCATGGCCCTATTCTGATTCAAATTGAAATTATTACTGTCACACACAATTTCAAAGAAATATTTTAGTATGTGATCCCCTTAGCAGATATTTCACTCTTTATCACAATGGTTCCATACTAACTAGACTTATTAATGACATCAAATCTGAAATTTTGCTTCTCAGTCAATATTATTTTCATAAGAAGGTATGAACTAAGGTACATTCAGCAACAATCTGTTAAAATTAACACATACATGCACTCTGAATAAATGCAGTCTTTTTGTTCTTTCTTTTTAAAAGGTTAGTTTACTTCACTTTATACATAATTCATTTTTTCACTTATTACAGTAGGATAAAGTAAAATACTACTTTAAATAAAATAACAAAACAAAAGCATCTAGTCAATTCAGTGAGTTAAAGAAGTCAAATTTTGTGATGTGCACATATGGGGGATGTCTGTGTGTCTGTGTATCTGTGTGTCTGTGTGTGTCTTTGTATTCAGCCCATTTTCTAATGATTACTTTACCTTCAGCTAGATAAAATTCTATTCATTCATTTTACAGTGAAATGAACTTTGAAGAATTTCCCATTAGGGGTCTATCTATTTAAATCTGTTTCAAAAAAAATTTTAAGATGCTGAGATGTAAATAGATAAGATAAAATGCCAATAAATTATTTTCTAAAAGATGATAATATTTTCATGCAAGTTATCTAATGAAAACCACAAAATACGTAATTTTAATTTCTCAAGTGCCATTTTCTTTGCAGTTAACATAATAATATAGCAATGCTTACATGTTCTCTTCTCCAACAATGCAAATAGCAGAAAGTATTTTTACTATTTCAGTCATCATGTTGGGTTGTTTGGGATCAATTGCTCTTGCCAATAGCAAAAGACTCCTTTCATCTCCTAGAATCCTTTGCAATCCAAACTAAAGGAAAAAAAAAAAAAAGACTTCATTCAAAATGTATTTGTAACACATCTTTAATTTAAAAAGCAATTTATACTGATCTTCTAAAAACCTACACCTCCACAATGAGGTTCTACCTAATTATATGAAATGTTTTTCAAATGCAGTTACTTATCTTTGTTTTTTTATTTTAAATGACTATATCTTGGAGTTTTTTCCCCTTGATCAGATATGATCTACATTAGCCTGCCTAAAAACTCCATAAAGATTTGGGAGAAATATGTGAACAATCAGTATTTCTTCGACAAAGAAAAACATGTAAAGTACATACTGATATGATTTTTTTTTTAAGATTTTATTTATTTATTTGACAGAGAGAGAGAGAGCCAGCATACTAGCAGGGGGCACTGTAGAGAGAGCAGGAGAAGCAGGCTCCCCACTAAGCAGGGAGCCCATCTTGGGCTCCATCCCAGGACCCTGGGATCATGACCTGAGCCAAAGACAAACTCTTAACTGACTGAGCCACCCAGTCGTCCCCTGATACGATTTTCTTAAGAAATTCTACTTATGTCATTGGATCTTCGTGGAGACATCTGGAATCCATGGTTAAATTCTCCAATATGTTTGTGTATTAAATTAAACTGAACAAAAAGGGTAAAATGTTGTAAAGCTCTTTTGTATACTATATGCCAGTTAAAGAAGCAATAAACCTCTGTAGGTTTTCCCATACCATCTATTATCCTGCCCCTTTGAGAAGCTGTGCTGCATTACAAAAGCCATGAACCCAAGTAAATGGTGCCTGGGTTTTCATAAGTGTCACAGTGAACTAGGCAGAGGAGACATCATTTTCATTTGTTTTCTAGGCTTGACTACAACCACAGAAGTGTGCATTATAAGAATGAATAGGTAAACAAATGTTTAAAAAAGGCTAAAACTTGAATTTTCACTATATTTAGAAGGTATTTTCTTTGACCTTTGTCCCAAAAAGTATTTCTCAGATTTCTTATGAAACACTTGCTTCTTTATACAATTTCAACAGTAAAAATCCAACAACATTTCATCAGATCAAAATTGTCATTTGAAGCTTAACTTTTAGATAAGTACCAAATATATGATTATTTTCATGGTGCCTAATTTAACTTCCAAAAGAATTTGGGGAGAGAAGGGGAATATAATTAAAGCTCTTAAATGTAACTTTACCAGAGGTCACAATAAATAATATATACAGAGATAAGGCAAATAAAAAAAGAAATGGAAGAGACAAGATTAAAAAGAAGCAAGGAGAACAGAATGGACAAGCATGTATAAAGGTGGCCAGTAGATACTAAATAGCAAGGAAAATAAGTGAAAAATGTATGTGTAAAACTAAGAGACAGGTTTACCATGCAATTACCAAACTTAAAACAACAGCTTTAAAAATCAAATAGACTGAGAGTAAAATTATTCAAATTTTCAAATTTTCATTTATAAGTTAAGAGTAGTTTCTAGTACATAGGGACATACTAAAAATAAAAATGAAATAAATAATGAAAAACCATAAATCTAAACATAAGAGCAATATTACAGCAATGGAAGTTAAGAGGCAATGCTTTGCTTTTGATCCTACTATGATCCTATTATTACATGTCTTGTACAAAGGAAAAGAGTTTTGTTTTGTTTTATTTATTTGTCAGAGAGAGAGAGAGAGTGGGGGAGAGCAGCAGCAGAGGGAGAGGGAGAAGCAGGCTCCCCACTGAGCAGGGAGCCTGACGCAGGGTTCGATCCCAGGACCCTGGGACCATGACCCCAGCCGAAGGCAGACACTCAACCAACTGAGCCACTCAGGCGCCCCAGGCAAAGAGTTTTTGAAGAAGGTAATCTAAATTCCTTGGAGCCAACAAATGTTAAGTTTAAGTAATTTCAGATGAAAGTTTCATGCTTTATGACAATTTATTCCAACATGAAGGGGATATATCACTACATATTTTTTTTTAATTTTGAATGTATACTACAAGCCTATTGTTTCACATGCCTATAATTTAAAAGATTCACCATTTACTCATGTTCTGAGCATTTATATGCAAGATATTAACATGTCCTAACTACAGGTTAACCTTAGTTTAGAATAATATAAGTCAAACCATCATGTTCTTCCAAACTGCCAAACTCTTAAGTAAAAGTAATTATGTATTCACATATCAGCGTATGTCCTATCACAAAAAGCTCTACAGGAAATCTCACTACTATGACTTTCTCTATTGACTATCTTGGTTATAGATATTTAATAACCTGGTAAGCTATGAGAATTGACAATGCAAGTCAATAAGAATTTAAAACAAAGACTCCTACAGCTAATTTTACAGATGAGGGGATTGACAGCCAGAAACTTCAAGTGCTTTTCCAAAGGCCACTCAACTTAGTGGTAAAGCATGTACTATATCTCCTGATTTCTAGTACTATACTGTTCTATTATTTCTGTTTCCCTCAACTGAAGAAAGAGATTCATCTTGAATTGTGGAGATGGAATGTTCATTAAGTGCTTTCTTGTTAAGAGATCAGATTCTGCATAATTCTGTTGCAAAACACTAAGGGCACAGAAGTTGAGAAATTCTGTATTAATGGTGATAGAAATCTTTCCAGAAGAGACTTCCAGGAACAGTGCAATTAGTATAGTCTACACAAAAGTCTTATGTCCACTAGTAAGCATCCACTCCACATGCCAAAAATCCTTTGCTGATACATGTGTGCATAATATATAAATATATACAATCATATATAATCCCATGTTTAAGAAAGACTGTTTACAGATTAGACAATCTTATCACATCATTAATAGCTGTATATATTATATTAACAACTATATATCTGGCCAGTTTTTGGTTATTGTTATGATTATTTCTAGTAAATATTTTGAGATTATTAAAACATCATCTAAAAAGAATTATACAATTAGTGAATTAGTGGTATTTTACGTTATAGGAATATAGAAGAAATCATGTCTAATACAGTAACAAAATTGTTTATAGAAAAAACACCTATAGGGTGCCTAGGTGGCTTAGTCGGTTAAGTGTCTGCCTTTAGCTCAGGTCATGATCCCAGGGTCCTGGGATGGAGTCCCTCACCGGGCTCCCTGTTCTGCAGGGAATCTGCTTCTCCTTCTGCTCCTCCTCCCACTCATTCTCTCAATCTTCTCTCTCTCCCTCTCAAATAAATATATAAAATCATTTAAGGGGTGCCTGGGTCACTCAATCGGTTGAGTGTCTGCCTTCGGCTAAGGTCATGATCTCCAGGTCCCGATATGGAGCCCCACACATTGGGCTTCCTGCTCAGCATGGAGTCTGCTTCTCTCTCTCTCTCTCTCTCCCACCCCTCCGTCCCCTCTGCCTCTCCCCACTGCTCCTTCTCTCTCTCTTAAATAAATAAAATTTTTAAAACATAAAAAGTTTTTTAAAAAAGAAAAAGAAATAGTAACTATAACATCATAACTTCAGCACAGATTATTTTTTTGAAGATTTTATTTATTCATTTAAGAGAGAGAGAGAACACACGTGCGTGCATGTGCACGTGTGGAGGGAGGAGCAGCAGGGAGTGAGAGGGACAAACAGACTCTGTGCTGAGCGGGAAGCAAAATGCAGGGCTCCATCTCAGAACCCTGAGATCATGACCTGAGTGTAAATCAAGAGTTGGACACTTAACCAAGTGAGCCACGCAGGCACCCTGAGCAAAGATTATTTTTAGGAAAAAACCCTTGTCTAGAATTCATAAAGTCTCTAATACTGCATCTGGTATACATATACATAAAAACCCTGCAATCTTCCAGGAATGTCTTCTATGTATATTAACTCACTGATATTAATTAAACATAAAATAGAAATCTTAACTTTATAATGTTCTTAGCAAATAAGTCAAACCATAGCTTTGGAATTCCCTTTTCAATGAAATAAAAACACTGTAAAAATGGTATTCAACATAAAATATTTAACCATGAAAGAAAAAAAAAGTATTATCTAATTTGGCAACAGACTTATGTGCTTCCGTAATTATAAAAACCTACCAATAAATATATTGTGAAGCAAAATATATTTTAAATAATATTTTGATGAAACGTATGATGATTTGCATCATAAAGACTCTTTGAAAACCAAATAAACACCTACTATACTGTTTCATACTTTCATATACTGTTGAACAAGCTCTCACCTTTTGTGACAGGCAGAAATAACTACTACTTACCTTATTATTCATAAATGCTTTGAGGCACTGAATAAGTTTATACTGATTCTTCTTGTCTATATTTTCTTGCCTGAATAAAGGGGAAATAAACATGTTATGTTGTGCTTAAAAATTTTTTAATTTCCCCTTCAGTGATATTTTTCATGTTTATTCTTACTGTTTCTTGTCCAGAAGCTTTTCCAGCACATCCAATAAGAGTCCAAGACCTTCATGGCCAAAGTTGTTAACCCAGCTATGAAACAAACAAAAAATATGTATAAATAAGTTTGTATATTTAAAACATTAAGTATCCAAAATGAAATTTTCACTTTTTAAGAAACTGCTTTCCAAAGTGGTTATCCAATTTGGCATTCTTTCAGGAAAGTGTAATAGCTCCATTTAATCCAAATCCTTCCCAAAATTTCACACTGTCAAAATTTTTTTGAGAAAGAGAGAGAGAGAGAGAGAGTGCACACATGCGTGCCCATGAGTGGGGGAGGGCCAAAGGGAGAGGGAGAGAATCTTAAGCAGGCTTTATGCCCAGTGCAGAGTCCAATGTGGCGCTCAATCTCATGACCCTGAGATCATGACCTGAGCCAAAATCGAGTCAGACACTTAACCAACTGAGCCACCCAGGCGCCCCTCACACTGTCAAATATTTTTTTTAACTTTAGCCATTCTGAAAATTGTTTCCAGATAAACTGAGAAGCAAAGTAGTAAAGTAACTTGCCAAACATCACTCAACAAGTATCAGTTCTAGGGTTCACATGTCTAAATCCAAAGCCCGTATTTACTTCAACCATACCACTAGAAATTACTAATAGGACCAGAAAATGATTTTCTATAAAAACATCTGCTTATGGCTCTACCAATATTTCACTGAAGAAGAATTAGTGGTTAGTTCCAGAACTGCATTGAGAATCTATCTATCTATCTATCTATCTATCTATCTATCTATCTATCTTATATACCTATATACACGTGTGTATATATATATATCTTATATCTATATCTATGTCTAGACACACAAACATATGCTCTGCTTTATTTAACAGCTTACTTACTTCATTTAGGTGTGATAAGTATTTTCAATCCATGCTTTTATTGAATTTTAAAGTTCTAAGCTTTATAAGAAATCTACTAAATACTGTTAAGGAAAGGAATCTGGAGACTCCAACTAAAACTTCCAATTGAGATTTAGACAGCTTATTGAAAAGAATAAGGCCAGAATGTAGCTTATACTTTTATTTTTTTGGATAAGCTAGTTTACAGTCTCACATTTTAGGTATTAACATATTAGTGATTTTATGTTATTAAGTTACCTAAGTCAAAGAGTTGTCTTGACACACTATACATATAAGATAATGTTTGTTGCCATTACTTGTGAGGGTGCCAGGTGTAACAAATAAACCAAAAAACAAAAAGAGTAGAAAGATCAGTCAGGAGGATTCATTTATAAGTGAGCAAGAAGTCAGGATTAGATCTGAAGAATGAAAAAGAAGCCAGGAAGATTATCTGGGGATCAAGAGAACAAACCTGCAATAGGGCAGTATCTTCTGAATTTATGGCGTGGCTATACCCATCAGGGAGTCCAACATCTGGTCCAGGGTTCAAGAAGTTAAAAATTAAAGACCCTTCCTCAAGTTTACTCAAAGATCAGAAAAATATCCCACCATCCATCAATGGAACAGGCTGTAAGACCACATAGTGGCATGTTCAAATGCGTAAGTTTTAGAAAAAGACAGATCTAGGATCCAATCACAACTCTACCAGATTCTAGTTGTGTTATTTTTGATCAATTACTTAAACTTTCTGAGCCTATTTTGTCATCCTCAAAATAGGGATGAAAATAGTACCTATACCCCAAATGGTCTTTGTGACTATTAAATGAAATAATGTACATGAAACAACAGAGTGAAGCCTGTATTAAACCTCTGAATGTGTTAAAAACCAAAAACTTCATTGCTGTTTGAATGTTCTAGTCCAAATTATAGTATGAATTTTAGGCATAAAGTAAAGACTCCTTTTCAATAATATAAAAACTTAATAACATTTCATCATTCATTTATTGAAAAGCAGTTTAATTGCTATGAAATATGTAGAGGAATCTAAACAGACAGTACACTTTTTCCATTGATGGATTTTTAAAAAAAGATTTCATAATTTAAATATTTGATGGGGTGCCTAGCTGGCTCAGTTGGAAAAGCATGCAACACTTGATCTCGGGGTCATGAGTTTGAGCCCCACGTTTGGTGTAGAGATTATTTAAATAATTTTTCAAAATTTGTAAAATAAATACATAAATATTTGATACTCATATTGCCTCATATGTTTAACTTGTTACTATTCAACTTTGCATATATTTATTTTTCATTATATTTAGTGCTGGCTAATTCACATTGGAGCAGACATGGAAATTACAATGGTAAGAGGAAAGAGTATGGAGAGAGTGAATCTATTTATAGTTCATGCATAATCCTGACAAGGAATTATATCAAAATATATTAAGATTTAAAACAGAAGTCTATCCCAAGCCTCCACAACTTCTGAGGTCCTTGTTTTTAAAGGTCCCGCTTATACTAATCAGCATGATCAAAGGGGGAAAAAACATATTTAATAAATATAACAGAGGATTCCAAGAGAAAGCAAGATTCTCCCCACTTCTAGCTCTACCGGTCAAAAAAAAGTAAGGAAAACTCTATAAATGTACCTATTGTATGACAGAATGAGATTCTACTCTCTCACACATACATGTAAAGGAAAACCCTTCACAATTTCCCAAAACTTCAACCTTCGATATATAAATTGGAGATTCAGAGTTGGAATTATTTAGTTATAGTTCATATAAATATAACTTAAAAGCAAAGATTTAGTGGGTGGATGAGTTCAGTACATTCTATACATTACAGACATAATAAGAAATAGTGACTGCACTTATATTGATGAATAGATTGTCCAGATTCATGTAGGTCTTTCAAAGGGTTAATGCTAAAATTACCAAGTTCTGTCCTGAGTCCCATAAGCTTTAAAGGCAGTTGGTCTAATGTGCAGGAGTCCCTTATTAGTCATGTCATCCCTTTATCAGTTTGTGCACTGCTAAAGGCTAATATAAAGAGTTATGTGTTCTGTACAAAGAATTTTATTTCTCTTTAATGGTGTCCTATTCCCATGTGTAATCTCATACTACAACCCAAATCACTGGAATATCAATAAAATGAATGATAGCTTAGAGTTTCTTGGGGGAATTCAGAATGTTGGTAAAATTACAAAACATGAAACAACTAATTCCAAGGGTTGTGGAGACATTAAAGATGATTGTAAATGGTGTGTACACATTTTAATAGCAGGAAACATCTCATTTTATTTTTTAACTTAAAATCTATTTAATTAACATATACTGTATTATTAGTTTCAGAGGTAGAATTTAGTGATTCATCAGTTGCATACAACACCCAGTGCTCAGTACCCTCCTTAATGCTCATCACCCACTTACCCCATCCCCCCACCCACCTCCCCTCCAGCAACTATCAGTTTGGGAAACATCTCATTTTAGTATCAATGTTTCCAATGTAATGTTTCTGAATGCAATTAAAACCAAACTTTAGTTATATGCACTTATGAGAAAGAAAAAGAGCCCCAAGGTGATAAAGACCAATGTACTACCCAAAGCAAACATTATCATACATTTAGTCCATGAATCAATAATCTCCAAACAGTAGCCAAGAAGAAGTATTTTTAACATTTTTAAAGTATATTTGTTCAATTAAATCAACTTCATAAATAATTCCACTATCAATATATACATCTGTTAAAAAATAAAATGTTAACAAAAACAACATGGACTTGTATATGCTATGACTGTCTTGGCCTTAATTCAATAAAAACATACATATCCACTTAGGTTTGTCTACATGAAAGTAAATATGACAGACTTGAGCACTTGAATGTCCTTGGAAATATTCATCATAGTAGATTAGTACATAAACTATCTCTGCCCAATTTTAATTATTAGATGTAGTACTGCCATTTCCAGACATCTGTGCATATGACATTCACTGACCACTTATTTCACCTGATTCATAGAAGGCAGACTATGTTAATTTTCCAGCTCTGCCTCTCCATGGTTTTGACTTCAATGTTGAGCTAGACTATAATTTCCTTTGAAAACACCAAAAAAAAATTCCATCTTTCTCTCTATACTCTGTTATTAACTTAAAAAGGGTTTTATCTGGCTGCATTTATTCTCCCTATCAGGTCTCACTAGGAAGGTTCTGCTACACAGTACTCACACATTTTCTAAGAGTTCCTCACAAAAGAGGAAATGTGTTCTCTTTCTAGTTGTTTACATAACATAAAAACAAACTTCTTACACGTTTAGAACAAATTGTAAATGTCTGAGTTACATATAAAAATCTCCTGAGGGAAAATAAAAATTCTCTCTCAAAAGATAAAAATTCCTTATTCATTAAAATCAATTTAAGATCTCAAAATTACTTTGGAGATAGTCAAAATGGCTTAAATCCAAATCTGTTAAATTTACCAACAGGTTATAGAACAAAGAATATTTTCTTCCCCATCCCCCTTTAAAAGTTATTGTTAGAAAAACATAAGAGATCATCTTATCCCACAATAATGATGAAAATAAAATCTGCAAATGTGAATGAAAATGAAAATTGAGTCTTCAATCAAAGAGAAGCAAGGGGAAAGAACATTGCAAATATTCAAGCAAAAGCTAGTCATATTTCAAATTCTCTTCATATATTTGAAATTGTAAATATATTAGGACACTTACTAAAGTCACCTTCTTAGTAATATCACCAGTCAAACTTATAATAAAATGTTAACTTCCACAAGAAAACTATATTGGTTGGGCGCCTGGGTGGCTCAGTTGGTTAAGCGACTGCCTTCGGCTCAGGTCATGATCCTGGAGTCCCGGGATCGAGTCCCACATCGGGCTCCCTGCTCGGCGGGGAGTCTGCTTCTCCCTCTGACCCTCTTCCCTCTCGTGCTCTCTGTCTCTCATTCTCTCTCTCTCAAATAAATAAATAAAATCCTTAAAAAAAAAAAAGAAAACTATATTGGTTTATTTTCTTAAGCTAAATAATACATTAAAATTCTATCATGCACTCCATAGGACATCCAGTTAATTTTAGTTTAGTGGAATTTTGTTAAAATGAACTTACTCTAGGAAATCACATTCCTAATCTATAAACCCTGAAAATTAAACAGAGTTGACATCAAGTTTAACTGTTG